TCATTTTATGGCCTGAATGTGTGTACGTACACAATAGCAGGACAAAAGTGATAAAAAAAAAAAAAAGACATTTTAATCATACAGTACATCTTTTATCTGAGGCATGTGGCGACCTGAACACCAGAGCACACGCAGAATTGAAGCTCGCACAAATACAAAAAAAAAAAAGTGACAGGCAACAACTTTTTCTTTTCTCATCAGCTTGTAAAATGTGGCACGTTGTTGTTAAGGTTGATGTGATCGTATCTGACAACACATAATTACACACAATATCACAATATAGACACTGTACGATCTCATGGCGGTGCAAATGGCTGCTGTACGAGTATATTTAACACTTCAGTTAGCAAAATTTCATGGAGGTGTCCTTGTAAAAAAAAAAAACCAAAATAAAAACATTAGTTTCCCACAATGATGTAGCTTTTTCAATAGTGTGTGTTCCAGCATAAAAATCAAACACACAATCTGGCACGTGAAGAACGGGTGAGTACAAAACAAAAACTGTAAACAGAATATATTTAGTGGGTCCGTGCTTTTGTCTGAAACACACTGAGGCACTTGTTCAACAAACACATCTCACACCTTGTATGATTGCACATTGTATGTGTCATTTGTTTATTTTTTTTTTGGACATCTGCTATTTGTTCTGGATTGAGTTTTTAATTAAAATATCAGTTTGTCGTCAGCATAAGCTTTCAGATGAGGGGTTAGTGTTTATTGCAATAGGAGGCACGCTGGCTTCACTTTTTGGCACGTTAAACTCTGAAGCTGAATTGCACTTCACTTTCAACGTCCTGTTAAAACAGTAGAGTTTCTTTGGAGAGGCGGAGGACGCCCGCTCTCTTTTCGAGTTCTGCTTGCACTTTTTGACACTTTCCTCCCGTGTGACGGGAATACTTTCGAGCTTCTCCTGGTTGCCAGGGATTTTACAACAAGCATTCGTGTGCGTTGTTGCTTCTGTGGTCGTGGTGGATACGTGATTATCACCACAACTGTGGTCGTTGTCCTTCGCGATCAGTCTTTCATGACACTCTGTGTGCGGAGAAGGGACGGGGTGTTCATTGTGAAGTTGATTCAGGGTGCTGATATTCTGGCTGCTGTCGGGACTTGAAGGACTCGTTTCATGTCTCTGAACTTCTTCTTCTCCCACAGTTTCTGAGCCAGAGCCGGGTCCTGTGTCCTGGTGTGAAGCAGGACTCGTGGATCTCTGTTCTCTGACTGAACCAGCCTGCATGTTCGCAGTGTGGACACAGTACTTCCTGAGATGGCAGCTGTGTGCGGGTCCTTGTCTAACTCTTCCCTGCGAGCAGTGATGGAAATGTGTGAGGGGACAGTGGACGTAGTGCATACGGCACTCCATGTGTGCATAAACAGGGTCCAGGTTTGTAGGCAGGAGAGCTGGGTTTTGTTTGCTCGGGGTGTTTCCTGAGAGGGATAAGAGCTGAGGGGTGGGAGGACAGGACAGGGAGTCCTGGGGAGGCTGGGCACAGGAGTGGGGGGTCCACTGCTGCAGCAGGTGAGGAGCAGGAGGGTCCCCACATGTGCAGTTAGTGTTCTGAGAGTACTGACACCTGGACGGTGTGCTCAGTGTGGATACAAGCCCGTTCTCTGGGCCGGCTCTGCTCGTGTCGGTGCTTTTGTAATGGATGTGTGAAAACGGAGCATTATGGTGGTGAGGGGGGATTCCGTTATAAAGCTGAGTACACAGTTCAGGCTCTTCTCGAGGTTTATCTTCAGTTTTCTGACTGGATGCCAAAGGCTCCAGCTCATAGTGCTCCACCTCCCCGCCCCTGCTGTCCAGCTGGTATTTCCCCAGACCAGAGCTCTTCCCTTGGGGTGGGGGGCCTGTGGATGTGGCTTCATGAAAGGCCTGACACTGCAGCTTTTTGGGCAGGGGTATCTGTCCACAGGTGCCCTGTGGCCCCAGGCAGCGGCACATGCACTGAAAGAAGAAGGTGGCAAAGGCCCAGCTGACGCACATGATCAGCATCATGAACGTGCCCAGCTGGGTGTAGGCCAAGACGGTGGAGGGCATCATCATCGCCCCGGCAACAAAGGTGGTCAGTGCCGCCATGGCGATAGCAGAGCCCATCCGACTGAGGGAGAAAATCACCTTCCCTTCGCGGTCGGGTTCTGGGGCCAGTCGGTAGGCCACGCCGTAGTGGACGGCGAAGTCCACGGACAGTCCAACCGCGACAGAGATGGTGACGGACTCTAAAACATTCAGCTCCCAGCCCAGCAGCACCAGAGATCCAACCGTGACAAATATGGTCCCGGCGATCGACAGTATGGCGTACAGACTGATGATGACGTTCCAGGTGGTCAGCAGCATGACGCTGAAAGCAACAGCCACTGACAGCGCCATGGCAACCAGGGTGCCGTCTGATAGGCTGTCCTGGAGATCGTAGAACTCCAGGTTGCTGACAAACCAGCCGTGACTGAGGCCTGCTGGGGCGTAGCGCAGCTCCTCTGTGATCCAGGCATCCACCTGAAACAGAATCACAATGTGAGGAACAAAAATGATCTTGAACTTAACTGTTTAAACCCCAAAACCTGTTTGTGGTTTAAAAGGTATGTCATCTTTCAAAACGACCAAATAATACCATTTATTTTAGCTGCATACTGTAGAGACAGAATTCTTTTCAACTTTAAGACAGTCCTCAAACTAATCACGTGTGACTTTCAGTTTTGCGGGAAATTTAACCAAATCTAAGCTTTATTCTACTTAAAAATAAACGGTTTGCATCAATTTCTGCAAAAAACTAAAAAAAAATTGGTGCCCCTCAGCACAACTGAGAAGCCATTAGTAACTCACAAAAGACATTTTTGAGTTATCTCTTGTTCTAGCTATCATTGTTCTCTTTCCATGCGATGCAGGACTTTATACTGCAGCACAAAATAAGCCCACAGTGACTAAAATATGACAGGAGCAAAAAATTACCAGAAACTATTTGTACTCCAGAGGCTAAAAGCTACGCCATAAAAACACTAGTTTAGACCAATTAATTTGTCTGCAGATGATACTGGAGCAGTGTACACAATTTAACATTAAATGTTAAATACCACAGGCCCTACCTCGCGGTAGAACTGGTACATTTTCTCATAGGCCAGTGTGAAGAGGTAGGTACTCTGAAACTCTAAAACTATGGCTCTGATGGTGTCATTGATGTCAAATCGAGGTCCGGGGGTTTTGCTGTCCAGATGGTAATTAGTACTCCGATCCAGCTCCATGATGGCTCTCTTGATGCACAACTCAAACACATCCTGCTTGTATGGGAAGGTTGACTGGCTGCAGCAGGGGTAGACAGACGCCTCCTCACAGTCCTGGTTCTCCATCCACTGTTAAAATCACAAAGATTAAAGCTGATTCTGTCAGGCGACACCTAAAAGTTAAAATTTTGTTCTGTTATTTGTACACATCAAGTACTGACCTGTTTAAATGTCTCAATGAAGCAGCTGGTGAAGTCCTGCTCCTCTGACTGAAAGACGAAGCTCTGGTTCCTCAGCTTCTGGCAGAAGTTGAGGATCCACAGCTGAGCTGCTGGACTGGCAATGTTGAAGCTGCTGTCCAGCATCAGCTTTCCCTTGTTTTTGGGGTTCAGGGGGTCTCCATTATCTACAGGGGTCACCCCCCAAATGATAGTGATAGGCATGTGGAGGTCCTCACCGTGATGAACCCTCTCAAACATGAAGAGTTTTTTGTACTCGGCGTCATAGCGCTCAAAGGGATGAGAGGATCGGAACACCTGAAACTCCGCCAGCTCCAGTGAAGGAAGCTTCATCTTTGGGTTCACACAAACCACGTATGCTCCACCAACTGTGATGGCAAGAAACCAGAAGAGCCAGAGGTAGCGCAGCTTAATGACGATGCAGGGCAGCACCTTCTCAAAGAAGATCCTCGACGCCTCAGAGACTGTAAACAGGCATTTGCTGGCCTTCTGGCAAAGACCAGCCCAGAACATCTGGGTGCAGAAACCTCTCTGCTGGTGTGGAGGTTTGGAACAGGGGAACATGTTCGGCAGGTAGCGTTCGTGTAGCACCACCACAGCCGGCAGCCACGTCACCATTAGAATATAGTTCACCAAAATGGCAGTGCCAGCGTAGACTCCAAAGCAGCGTATGGCGGTGATGTTGCTGACGTAGTTGGCATAAAAAGCTGCAGCAGTGGTGAAGCTGGTGACAAACATGGAGAGGGCAGCATGTTGCAAAGTCACACTGACCGTCTCTGCCAGCTCAGCATGTGGTTTATCAAACTTGGTGTAGTTCCACACGTCACAAAGCACGAAGGCGTCATCTGCACCAATTCCTACCAGGATGATGAGGGCCGTGAGGTTCATGAAGGGGAAGAACTCAAAGTTGAAAACCATTCGATAAAGAAAGTAAGACACAATAAGTGAGCTGATGATGGCTATTATTGTCATGAGTGTGATGAAAACTGACCGCGTGTACACACACATGACCAGCAGAACAATCACTATGGCTATGGCTGGGTAAACCGTGTCCGTAAGGAGGTAGTCCTGAAAGAGGTCATGCTTGATGCCAAACTCGATCCCAGTGACTGTGGTGATGCCATCTGAGGAGTTCCAGTTCTCAAAATTGTCCAAGTAGATGTTCATCATGGACTCCCCTTTCTCTGTAGGGGAGAAGAGCATGCTGTACTTGAGCACAGGTGGAGGAAACTCCAGACTTTTGGGACTGAGGAAGTCTTTGTCCACCAGGAAGTGAAGGATCTGGTAGACCGCATTGTACTTGGTGCACTTGCGGGGCACAGTGGCGCACTTCAGCTGGTCTTTCCGTCGCAGGGCCATGTCCCAGCAGTCGGGCCCCAGCGTGCCGTTGTGGTAGTACTTGGCACACGAGCGCAGGATCTTGAGTGTGTGCGACACGTCGCGTTCTGTGATCTTCTGGCAGGACGACCTGTTGGTGAGGACAGCGATGTAGTTACCGAGCGTCCAGCTCGGGCAGCAAGAGGCATCGTTGGTGCGCTGGCAAAGACTCCAGTAGTCACGGTGGGAACGCACCTGAGGACAGATGGAAACAGTAAATACACAGACGGAGACACACTAAAAACACAGAAGAATCAAATAACTTTCTAGGGCTTTAACCCTCTGAAACATGTTGGTGGGTTTGAAAAGTATGTTAGCTTTAAAATTGCCAAAATTAGACCATTTATCAGAGCTAGGAACAGTGAAAAAAAAGGAAGGCTGATTGTTGGATTTTCATCCTTTTAACAGTCCTTCCACTCATCATACATGACTTTTACAATGCCAAAGTGGAAAAATGCATGAATCTAAGCTTAAAAATTGTAATATTTCATCAATATCATGTACTACTACACTTATCCTTTATGTCTTGTTACCAAAAATAAACAGTTTGCCTGCACTCCTTGATGAAACCAAGAAGCCATTTGTGACTCAACTACAAGCAACAGTCACATAGCAAAAATCTGGGGACTTTTTTGGCTAAACTGGGCTGAACTGCAGGCTGTGTTCACACAGAGCAAACTAAAAATGCACGAAGTAAAATGTTGATAGAACTCCATTTTTCTTTTCAATTAAAAAACAAAAAACAAAGAAATTAAACTCTCAATGTTTTTTTCTTTTTTTAAAAAAATGATTAATAGCACTTAGTCTTTGCTATACTGCACAAAAGACATTCCCTGGACTTCTAGCCATGGTTGTGTTGTTTCCGTTGAGGTGCAGGACTTGACATTGCAGTGAAAATCAGCCTACAGTGAGGGAAACTGTGACAGGAGCAAAACGTGCTTCAAGTTCAGAGGGTTAATAAAATAATCATTATTAGTCCTGACTGTCAGAGAAACATGCCTTTCCGTATACATACTCTTGTGTTGTCCAGATTGCACATGGATTTGATGGCCTGAATACTCCACAGGTTCTTCCCTTCTGCTGACGTGAACACCAGTCGAGAGTAACTGTCACCTGCAGGAAAGAAAGAGTTTTATTACTTAAGCAGAAAACCATCCTTCCTGGATTAATAAAAGCTAGGAAATACAAGACAAGAACGATTCTACCATCTGACTGACGGAGATCTTATTTTCATCATGGTTCCAGTCAAAACACACATTCCATTGAAAGCATAATTATTATTTAGATGTTCTCTCATTCTGCTGGTATGGTGAATTTCCACTGAGTTATATTTGTTTGAATCTTTTGGGGATTTTGCGGGGGACTAATTTAATTTTTATCCACCATCTGGTCTGAGTTGGAAGGGTGCAATTTTTAAGGTTGTGGTGTCCTGGTCAACTGGTCGATTGGTCGGTCAACCAAAGTTCCTATTGGTCAGACAATCACTAGTGTTACTTTCATACTGAGAAAAGTGTAACATCAACAGAGTTCCAGGATTAAACCATTATATTTGGTGGAGGCAGGAACATATGACCCTGTGTTTTCACATTTTTGAACTGGCCCAACCTAATGGAAAGTTCTAGGTCTACTTTTTTTTACAGTTTGTTTACCGAGAACAAACTAACTGCCATCATGTCAAAGAAGTCATCAGTGTGGCTTCTTTTTGCTGATGGCCAAAAAGTCAAATGTACACTTTGCCAACAGCTGTTTGCATTTCGTATTTTAACTGCAAACACATTGTCTAAAAACGGTTGGCTAACTTGTCTGCATTTTGTCCTCAATAGTCCCTGAGCTGCTATTATCACTTTATATATTTGAGGAAATCTGATGAATATGGTATGATTTGCTGAAGCATATTGTTATCCTTTTAATACAATTTTTTTTATTTTATTTTGCTTCATAATTCATTTAGGCTAATAAGGCTAGCAGGCATTTAATGCATTTTTGCCAGTTTTGTTAATCAAGAGATAACAAGCATATTTTGCCATGCAACAAATGGACTGCTTGTTTGTGTTTTAAGTATGATTTCGGTCAAGCAAGGTTCATTCTGAATCCACCTTTTCCTTTAACATTAACTTCAAACTACAGCTGCTCTCACAAAGTACATACTGTTTCATAGAGTACAGGTGGGACATACTACTTTGTCATATTATTGGACCTTAAGCTTTGACCACCACACATTGTAGTGTTTGTTTATACTCATGCATGACACTATGACATATGTAAAGTCTGGATTGTTGCTCAGAATGGCTAGAAAAGCATGTTGGCTTGCATACTTCAAAATCCCTACTCCATACTAGGACATTTGAGTATTTTTGGTATACTACCTTTGAAACTATGTACTGGAACACATTCATTTTCTTCCTAGTACAATATATAGTACAGAAGTATGGATATTGGAATGCAGCCCAAAATCTTCTTTGGTTGACGACAGTCCAGGTATTTTCTGAATTCTCTCTTTTATTGCATTTAAAATCTTACCTGGAACATCGCAGAAGAACTCTTTGCTGAAGTCCCACTCAGCTTGTCGTTTGTCTCTGTCAAAGTGGTCTTCTGGCCACCTGGGTTCTTGGTGACTAGAAAGCAATACAGAATAACCTCGTGTGAATGACTGAGATGACAGTACACATGAGTTCTTCAATGACTGATGTCGATGCTGATTATTTAGGGAGCTTGGCAGCAGACGTCTGACAAATTGTTGGCTTTCAATAGCTATAGTATGTAACAGTTTAGTCACATATTAATGGATCCCTAGTAATGTTAAGAGAAAAGACCCATGGTGTTAGGTGTTATATTAAAAAGCTGCAACAGTTAACTGATGTTAGGGGGGGGAAATGGGACAATTTCAGCTTCTTAAATCTGAATATATTCTGGCTTGCTTTCTCTTGACTGTAAACTAAATATTTTTGGGTTGTGGACAAAACAGGACATTTGATAAGGTCATCTTTGGGAAACACTGGATGGCATTTGTCGGCATTAACTGAGAAAAAATTAGCAAGAAAATAATCGACACCATTGTTATTTGCAGCCCATTGAGATGTTATGTTTTTCAAATCTGACATTTACTTGCTTGACATCCCTGAATTATCCCAAATGACAAATCTGATAAATGCTTTTTGATCACCAACAGGAGCTGAAAATGTTTTTCAAGCCCTCGAGTTTTGCTGGTTAAAGCTCAGCTGCATTACAATTCTGAGCTAACATTTCTCACTAAAACAATAATCTAATTACCCTGGCGTAAACATAGTGTATGCCATTAAGAGAGGCCCATTAAATACACTGACATTTGAAAGCTGGGAATTTAGGTTTTATTGTTTTTTAAACAATAAGCTACACTGACAAGGCTGCCTCTGCATTCAGTTTTTGTTTATCGGCCTCAATTACAAAAGCAGTCTGCAGCAAATTGCTATTTTATTACTCGGTTTATTTTGTTTTTTCAGTCTTACAGCACTTTGCGAGATTGCTTAAACAAATTTTAGACAAATCATTAACATCATCTGTGAAATATTTTACGGCCTCTTGAGAAGAAAGTAGACCATCGCCTTTCTAATCTATCCAAACCCACACAGAGCCAAGAGAGACGGTCTGAAAAAATGATTTCATAAATCACCCGACGGAGAACAGAGATGCTGCTGTGTCTGAGGCTGCGGAGTCAGCGTGACACAAAATGAAGGAAGCAGATTTGAAGCTGGGTAATGAAATAAGCAGCGGTAATTGCTGCCGTTCCCCTCCAAAATCAGATGAATGACTCACTGCAGGACGAGGATACTGCTGTCGTTATTATAATAATCATAATAGTGGCTCTGATTGAGCAGGAGGCCCGACGGGTGGAGGGGGGGAGAGTGTGTATGTATTGTGTGTTCTATAGTACGAATAATGCTGCGGTCGAGGATTGTGTGTCAGACAACCCTCTTCCTTCTCTGTTTTTTTTTTTTTTTTTTAAAGCTAGAAACAGGAAGGCGGAGTAATCAGGTGGCTGTCAGAGCGGCTGAGGGAGCTGACAGACGGACGGGATGAAGCAGGGAAGCTTGCTGACAGAAGCAGAGGCCTCTCGTACAACAAACGCGCATAAGTACACAATTACATCCGAAGACAGACGCGTGGAGCGAGACGGGAAGAAAAAAAAAAAGAAAAACAAAGGCGGCCACAGACGCGGAGGGAAGATCCATTATCTGATCAGCAGAGACGAGGCGCAGTTTTTAGAAAGCGCACGGACGCAGGTCAATGTCATTCAAAGACTTCTGTTTTCAAGCAACAACAAAGATGCTGTTAACTGGGGATAAGCTCAAATATTCCCGCCTTGGTTCAGGTTTTGCTCTAAATCAGACGTAAGTGGGATTTTAGAAGTACAACAGTGAATGCAGTCGTACAGAAACGTGCTATTGATTAGCGAGTAGACTCCCACCGACAGAAGACAGAGGATGACCTTGTGGATGGACAAATCTCTACTTTGTTCCTCTTTTCTTTCAGGAGGGGATTCAGACTTTTCAGCACGTCTGTCAGCGGCATCCTTTGACCCTGACCCCCACTGTTACCCCCAGCCTCCTCCTCCCTCAACCTCCGGCTCCCATTCTATTGTAAGGCTTCATATAAGCAGCCATATTATGATATTCTTCTTTTGTTTGGAGTCCTGCTACTTGACAAAAGCACTACAAGAAAAAAGCAGCTGCTGCAGGTTTAACAAACGGTGACTTAAAGTTTAATAAAGTTGGAAATAAGTACGTTTTTCGGTTCCAGAACGGATCGTCAAAGTTCATTTGATCAACTTGCTCACTCTAGGTTTAGTGTGTTTGCCTCGAGTATAAAAAAACGAAACAAAGCAGAAGATACAACGGATAGATTAAGCGTACAGCCTCCATTTTATCTCTAAAATCATAGTTGCAGCATTTCAAGAGCCTCCGTTTCAGAAAGGAGTCAATAAGTTTACACTACCACATTGATTTAGTTGCTAAATTTGGACATCTCGGTGCAACAACGGATCCAAATTTTAATTTTAAGGTTTGAGTCCAAGAAACTCTCTTTCTGTTGATGCGGCCAACACTTTTCTGCAGCTGTGACTCTTTCCCACAAGTGTTATTGTGTTACATGTTGGAAGGCAGCTGAAGAAACAGCTACAGAACCGATACAATCCCTGTACAAACAAACCATAAAAAAATCCAGATCAAAAGCAAATTCATCACTGTGAGAAACTGCAGAAAAATCATTGTTTGAGCTTTGAGAATTTTCTCAACTTTGTGCGAAAAATTTTACGTGACTTTGTTTACTTTTGTTCAGAAAGAGATTAAGAGAGAGATTGTGTTGCATTTGGCGTCTCAGCTTTCTCCAGTCAAAGCGAAAACTCAGTGAAACCAGATGACATAAAGAGTTGTAGTTCCTCACAAGCTTTAAATCCAAACTGAACAATCTGCTGAAGCTACTCGACAACCACTCACTCTCTCGTCTTTGTGCATTTTTTCACTCTTCATCGTGTAGGTTTCTCTTTGTACTCAAATATCCTGGTGGCTAATTTGTTTAACATACTTACGGTGCCTTGTGTGTGTAATTTGCATTATGTAGTTGGATTAGAGTCAATGTGGGCGAGTTTTAATCACGACCTGCCAGCGGAGTGCAGAGGAAAATTAGCCCCGAGGCTAAGTCTGGTAACATGTTAAATATTGTATATGGTCCCTTAGAAATAAAGTAAAAGGAATAAATATGTTTTAGTGAGCTTTTAGTAGCATTGAAACGTTTAAGAAAAATTTGACACATATGTTAGAACTATATTTTATATTACAAATTCATCTGAGAAATTGTTATTCTGTCTTCTGTCGTGCTTTTGTTGCTGATTTTTTTATTGTCACCTAAATCGTGAGCTAGCCCGGGTTGTTTTAAAACTTTCTGTACATCACAAACTTGATTTGAAGTGGTTAAAACAAACCATGACTATCACTGTCTATATTCAAAAACTCACTTTTAAACTGGTAGAGTTCTAAAGCCTTTCCAGCTGCACACAATCATCCTCACTCTGAAATATTCACATCATTTCTGAGGATCTCTGAGAAAATGTTCATGTGGTGCCGCCAAACACAGCCAGAGAAATGATTATTCAGAGATGAACATCCAACACTTTGAACAGATGTGATGACAGTAATGTCCGCTTAGTGTTTCAGTGCAGAGGAACTGATGGAGAAATTGTCTTAATGTTTACAGGGTCATGAAAACAAACAGATTTTAGTCTGAGCTGAGAATCAACCCACAACTGGGTGATATTTGAATGTGAGGTCACACACTGCTGTCTCTATCATTAAACTGTTAGGCAAAATAATCAATAATTACACGTCCCCAGTATTTTTAGAAACTGAATATCAGAAACATCCATGTGTGGACAGTGTGAGAGATGTGTGAGAACTTACTTTTTGGCCTGTTCGTCTGCATATTTGAAGGGGTAGTTGGCCAGAGTGGCTTTGTAGCCGGTGTTCTTCACCATGTTGTTCCACGTGACGAGTCGCTGGCCGATGGCAGTTCCTCGCGGCTCGAAACCCTTTTGGGAAAGAAAGCAAGCGACAATAAGCAAAATGAGTTTTGATAATAGAGATTCATTTAGCATGAAATTTATGTTCTCTCTGAACTGAACAAACAAAAAAGACACTTCACAACATTGCACCATTCCGTTTGTTTGTTCCACCCAGGATGTGCTAACAGAAGAACACCAGGAAAACTCTGCATCTGGATCTTGTTCACAGTGTGCTGTCGCTGGTAATATTACTACTAATACATAAACAGAACCACACCTTCAAACCAAACAGGACTGACACTGCTCTTTAACCCTCTGAACCCCAAGCAGGTTCTGGGCCTTTTTTTTGCTTCGGCAATATGAAGTCCTGCACCTCTATGTAAACAATACACCCCTGGATGGAAGTTAAAGAAAACTCAGCAGGGTCTTTTGAGCAGAAACACAGTTATAATGGTGTAAATCATAAAATAAAAACCTAAAGTTACATTTCACTAATTTTTTGTTTTTCAAAAATTGAAACAATCTGGAATCCATATTCTTCTACATCTGCCCACAGATGTTACCAATACTTGAAAAAAAAAAAAAAAGGTGGCTTTATATGCTGACACTAGATGTTTTAATTTCCTTACATGTTTTATTTGCCTGCACACCACATGGTTCAGCCCAGTTCACCATAATAGTTTCTGGCTTTTTGTCTAATGGCTGTTAATCGTAGCTGAGTTACTAATAGCTTCTCAGTTGGGCCATAGAGCTCAGAATATCTAGTTTTTTACAGAATCAGGATAAAGTAGACAATTTATTTTTGGAGAATTTTAAATGGAACAAGTAGAATAAAGCGATTTGGAAATGTGGTTATTTTTCCTGATTGAACCACACGCCATGCATGATTAGTTCAAGGACTGTCGGAAAAGTAAAAATATGACAATTATATTCAGTCTTTACAGTTTGTGGCAGATAAATGCTGTAATTTTGGCTATATTCTTTAAAGATAACATGCTTTTCAAACCTGCTGGCAGGTTTTGGCATTCAGTGGGTTCATGAACATGTGAAAGTCCTGGTACCTTGTGTAATGGAAAATATCTGCCTCACAAAATTATGTACACTAATATTTTTACACACCTTCTGGGTTAAAGACGTTTCATTCACCTCATTAAGTCCACAGACCATACGTTGTTCGTATTCATAGTCTGGAATAAGGCTAGTTATTTATCCAGAAAGGAGAGCGTCACATTTCTGTACTCACCAGCAACGGATCTGAGAAATCTGGCAGGTCGGGTACCAGGACGCCTACGAGGGCACAGATCACGATGAGCACCGTGCAAACCCCCAGAACCACCACAGGCCAGTCTGCTATCAGCTCGGCATAGCTGGAAACAAGTGGGAGACTGTGAGTTAATGAAAACATTCAGGACAAAACAGGAGCTGAGATAAGATGTGAGTAAGGTTGAGACTGTTACGCCTCCAATTATATATAGAGAGTAAAAGAGAAAAACAAAAAGGCCTCTTTGCAGGACATAAAGTCAGGAATTTAAGTTAAGATTTTGCATTAAATCCCCAAGTTTAACAAGATTGCATATTTCAAATAAAGATGAATTTGTCCAAAATTCTAAAAGAGAGATGAGAAAAGGAAATAAAGCAGATCAGAAAGCATTGGCTTGATTAGAAATAGTGTTTTCTGTGTCTCATTGTAATTTAAAACCTGGAACAGTTGTGATTTCCCCCCTAAACATTTATAAATGCACTGAAAAAGCTTTTGTTAAACAGTCTCCTAGATTTGACTGAGGGGAACCAAGTTACTGGTTACCAGGTACACAGAGCACACAACTCCCATCGATAACTCTCGTGACTCACTGCTGAGGAATGATGGCTGCACAAGAGCAGTGATGGATGGATGACAGGAATAAAGGGAGGAGGAGGAGGAGGAGGAGGAGGAGGGCTTTGCAATCCAGAACATCAACAGAGAAGAAACTGTTTTTGGCAGGTCTTACCTTTTGGGGAATCGAAAGGGCCTTGCAGGGCTGCATAACAAAAAGAGAGAGAGAGATAAATCAGGTTTACATTTTGAAGTCAAAGCAAGAGCCAATCAAAAGCAGATTTGCAGAGACTTTTTGAGCAACAGCGGACATATTTTCTTCGTGATCTGCCGTCTTTTCTTTTTCCAGCCCGAGCACACACCTTGGGTAACCGGATCACTGAAAACATTAGACCTGACATGGCTGTCAAAACCACTTTCCAGTGAACTTATAATAACACTCTGCTCCTTTTTACAAATCCCTCTCTGATGTGATAGACAAGCTTACAGGGCTTGTGTTTCTAATATACACGAGCCACACGCAGGCAAAGCAGGACGGACCCGTTAACGTTTATAGACGCCATAGATCGACACACACTTGAAAATTCCTGCTGGGCTCAAACTGATCCTGAAGGATTTCTGTCTGAGCCCAAACCAAATCTGAAAAGGATATCAGCCTGAACCCAAATAAAGCTGCAATAACTGTTCAACAACATTTGTGAATCTGATCCGAAGCTAAAGCCGTGAACCTACATGAGGAGGAGTGCACTGTGACGTATTCGGTGCAGTCGAATCAATGAAGAGCTCTAATGAACACCACAACTAGGTCAAAGACACACACTAGTGAGACCTGATTGTCTTATTCATCAGACTTCCTGGTACTAGACAAGGTTTGACCCAAACACACACACAAACAGGCATATGAGGCCTTCAGCTGCTCAGGATCTATCTGGATTTCTCGTCAGCTCCTCCTGGGAGCGGCGGGGAAGCGTCCGGTATGCCGGCAGCAGCAAACGCCCCGGCTGGAGGGGAAGAGGAGGGAAGAAGAGGAAGTGGGAGAATCAGATATGGCCACCTGATCACAGCAGGGCTGCAGGAGATAAATGATCGAGGCTAAAAGGGGGTTCAGGGTAGACGGAAATGCGGCTATGAGGGGAAAATACAGAGGGAGGAGAGTTCTAATATCACAGGAAAGGTTCTAACAACACTCTTTAAATCCTAAAGTCAACTTAACCCCCTGAACTACAAGTAGTTTGTGGTGTTTTGGTTTTTTTTTTGCTCCTGTCACACTTTCTACTCACTGTGGGTTCATTTTTCACTGCAAAATCAAGACATGGACCTCTATGGAAACAGCATAGCCATGGCTAGAAGTAGAGAGAACCCAAAAATGTCTTCACACAGGCTGCACTTCAGGCCAGCTCAGCCAAAAAGTTTTTGACACGTGACTGTTGCTCCCCATCCACCAGTGGCTCTTCAGTTAGGCCAAGCTGCACAGAATGTTCTGTTTTCTTTCTAACCAGCCTGCAAACTGATTATTTTTTAGCAATTTTATTTTTCGTTTTTAGAGTTTGTTTGAAGGAAATTCTTCATTTTTGTCTCATAAGACATGTTGAACGATTTGATTTTTTCAACCATCCCGATTTTAGGCTTAGATTTGGTTACATATCCCAACAGAACGCCACCTCACAGATGATTAGTTGGATAAATCTGGCTTATACATGGTGTAATAATGAAGTTTTTTCTAAAGACAACATGCCTTTCAAAGCTGCTAGCAGGTTTTGGAGTTGAGAGGGTTAACTTGGTGAAATTTGCTGATGAATTTAGATTAGATAATCAGACACCCTGATGCTAAATAAATGTATAATCAGTGGTGTTGATTCAAAAAGAAGACAAGGTGAGGAAAGAGTACACTTGAGAGTCTAAGGACTGTGTGACTCCATTAATAACCAGAGTCCTCCTCAGACAGAGGACGGAGGGACTCGGCTGGACATTTTTAGACAAATTCGTGCCAGAAAAGACATTCGAAAGATGAATGATCTACTTAAATAGCCCCTAACTCAAAGCCAAAAGGACTTGAAACACATTTCTCATGCGTCACAGATAATTTTCACGTCTCTGCTGTAAAGAAGGCAGCCTTGATTTACTCCTCTAACGGCTCAGAAGTGCAGGAAGTGAGTTCTGAGGTCACCTTTTTCTGCAGCCAATCAGGTCAGCAGCACTCTGGACATCGGTGCTGTGATTTAAGCAGCATGGCCGGAGGGGCCGTAGAGGCCGTCGCCGTATTTTGGCCGTTTTTGCCGTCAAAGTGAAATCCGCGGAATGTTATAATTAGCGGTAATGGGAAGCACAAATGAACTAAAGCTATTGAGGTGGAATTTTACTCGGCGGGGGTGGGTCGTGAGACGGCAGTAAATCCCTTTTAAAGTTTCACTGGGCGCATTAATATGACAGCCAGATGTCAAGTGGCACAAGTTTAGAGCCCAATCCACCAACATGAGTTTGTACAGACACAAACAGAGCATCAGCGCCACGGCTCTGAAGACACACGAGTGACTTGATTTAAAACAATCTTGCATTACGGTGTGTTTTTGCACATGTTGACCTCTGCATCATCAATATTGCACACTTTTGTGTACACAGGTTCTTCTGCACATGTCTTTTTTGCAACTTCAGCACGTATGAGCAGATCTCAACTTTTTGCACTATAAATATTACACATGCTCTTTAAATATAGGATTTTTCAGGATTACCAACTCTTTGTTTGCACTGCTGCTGTATATTCATGTGCGTTACCTCAGTATGTATTAGCAGATGTGAGTGATGAGTGTCTGACTAAGTATTTTCGGTTACGTAGAGACACCACAAACTATGAATTTCATTGCAATGACAACTTGTTTGTTGCCGCATATCACAATAAAACCTTTGAATTCTTGATACAACTACAGATTAGAGTCTCTGTTTGTTGGTATTCTAGCTTTGAGAGACCTGTTCATGCGTTTGTATATTAAATTATTTCCCACAACAATGATTTTTGTCCCCTCAACTTGCAAAGTGACCTTTAACCCGGTTTAAACCAGCGGCGCCTAATGAAAACCACATTTCCCTGTCGCTCTTTGAACCAGTAACCGAGGGAAAAATCTGTATTGCTAATGTGATTCTTCTCACTGTGCACTGTCTCTTGGCTTTCCATGTATGGCCTCAAACTGCAGACCTCGGGACAGAGATATGACCCAAAATGGAGGAGCCGAGTTATTGGAAATACTTGGAACAGATTCATAAAAGCGCTGTCAGGCATATCTATTTGTCTACTGAAGGTCTGTTTTGAGTTTTGGTCTGCTACGCTCCAATCTGAATTCATTTCAGCCAATTGGAAGGATGCACAGCATACCTGCAGACTTTTATAGATGCGACAGTTCAAGAATCCATCAAGTTGACGGCAATAATTTATCCCGTTCTCATAAAAGTCAAGCTGAGAAGGCAAACGGAGATCAATCTTCTTCTATTTGGGGCTCAATCTGTCTGTAATCTATGAAATAAAGCCAAATGAAACGAAAGGCACCACGATTTTTTCACACCTTGTTCACATGAAAATAAATGAAGGGGGTAAAGAAAGCGACGGAGAAGGTGGTGAGGTGTTTGGCGGTTAGCGACAGAGAGCTGGTGTCGGCTGATGATCTCAGAGGCTCTAAATTCTGCAAGTTGACAACCCACCGGGTCGGGTTTCCTCCACAACTCTCTGATCACTTCTACTCATGATGCCCTGAAAGCAAACTTAAATCGCAGACTCTGTCTCTCTTTCGGTCTCTCTGTCCGACTTTCTTTCTCCCGTTCTCCTCCTTCCCTTGGCTTCGGCCCCTTCTCTTATTTTCTTTCTCTGTCCTCCGGCCCTGAGTAACCTTTCAGTGTTATTCTATTTACCAGAGGGAGAGTGTTTCTGGATCACTGGGCTAATTAATAAGGTAAACACAGACCGCCAGCCGCTCACTCAGCACCGTGCTGACAGAGGAGGGAAGCAGAGAAGCAGCTGGGGAGCCAGTATGCAGAGGGTTTGCTTTACAGCCCGACACTCTGGGAAACTGCGGCCTGTCCAACACGGAAGTTAGTGATCGGGAGAAGAATATTCGTGAAATCTTTGGGCGATGATCCAAAACAGTAATCACAGAGGGAGGGAGATACAATATTCCAGTCTAATATATACTGGTGTGGATCGTGGCTCTAACTTTAATGCTAACTTTGCGCTCTTTACCATTGTAGTATTCCAAAAGAGCAGATTTTTCCATGAACAAAGTTAAAGACTTAGTTTTGCTAACTGAATTGGAGATTTCCGTTTAGGGTTACTTGTCAGCTGACCTATCAGCAGCACAGTCATGTGGGCAGACTGGCTAGTTGTGTGAGGCTTTATGGACGAATGAAGGCAGAAACACAACAGGACATCCTGAAAGAAAACATACTTCGGGAAACTGGTCGTGTTCCTGAGCTCACTGCTGTGCTGCCGACTGAGGAGGAAAACTGTTGATGCAAAGAAGGGGGGCGGTGGTGATCAACTGGAAGGCCAAAACGGGCCACACCGAACACTTTGTATTTGTTAAAGCAAATGAGGTTAGCACAATCTCTGTTCCTAGCAGATTAATTCTGTATTTTCCATCAATCAAACTCAAAAACTATTTAAAAGGATTCAAGCACAAATCAGTTCTCTTTTGAAAGCTGTAGGGAGATGACAATGGTCATGAAAATGTCTTAAAGAAGAAGAAAAAAAAACCTGGGAGAAGTCTTAAGGAATCGTTTCTGATCAGGAAAACAGTTATTACTCTTTCATGTCAGCTGGTATCGGCCATGTCATGCTGAGTTGAATGTCTGCTATGTCAAAAGTTATTCTGAAACAGAGTGTGAATGTCCCATAGAGCGAGTTATCTCCTTCTCTACAAAGTCTAAAACCACCTTATGCACCATGTGAATTTATTCTCTCATTATTTACTTCAAAATCTAGATTTTTCATCACCCAGATGAACAATCCTGTTGCGTCATTTTCTAACCTTGCTCCAAAACCTGCAGAATTTTTAAAAAGCAGACACCATCTAACTTAAGATACTGACGTCTTCTGCAGTAAATGACTTTGACTAAACATGTCCATGAATGTCAGTGTGTGTGTTACCGTACAGGAGTGTGCATGTGTGCCGGGGAGCGAGGGGGTTCAGGGTTAACTGTCAACAGACAGGCGGGTAAATATTTCACGAACAAGGCCTTCAAGTCGGAGCAAGAGCAATTAGTGTCAACCGTCGGGCTGCCGGGCTCGCCTCGGCCTGATTAGTGCCTCGCTGGAACGCTGCACACAATTAGAGGCTCGACCTAGCCGTGAAATAGGTCCATGCTACCAGCGCTCCCATCCAAATGACATCATAGGACTAGTTAGGCAGAAAAAACATGGCACTGAAGGCTTGATAAGTAGGTCTGTGTGTGTGTGTGTGTGTATTTACACAAAGAGTCGCGTGGCTGAAGCAGAAGACCGGGAGAGAAACCAACAGTCACCAGCGTGTGTGGTTGGATGGCATTTATACGACTGTAAATATCTGAAAAGGCCAATTCAGTAAATTACACTGACTAAACATGTCGATGAATGTCTGTGGTTTTAAAGGCAAACTCNGAAAAAAAAAACAAATTATGTATTTGGGCCTCAATAAATGGGTAAAGCAGCCATTTAATGAAATAAAACACTACAACACTACACTTTCCTTATTTTAAGATGATAAACTCTGTGAAGTGTGTCCTCACATTTCTTTGAGCAGCTGTAGGTGAATGCTGTCAGGAGGCTTTTGAATGTCAGTGTACAGACTTTACAGTTTACAGAGAAACAGTGAAGCCTTCATTAAATAACCAGCTGAGTTTGAAAGAATGACCTGCGCGGCTCGTTATTTTTAATTTGCCTCACCTTTTCAGTTTTGTTTTCGCGGGCTTTGTACATAGCTCTGCTGCTCACTGTGCTCTGACAGTAAAGGCCACAGTGACCACCAGAGAGTAAGAGGACGACTTGAGAATGTTGTATTTCATTTAGTTTTATTAAGATCAAGTTACATTCAATGGCCATGACTCGGTTAAAACTGGTTCACTACAGGTTCCTGATCTGCAGCACACAAAATGCAAAATTACACCACAACACCAAAAAAAAAAAAGAAATCTACAATAAAACCAACAGCTGTGCAGACGGTGCAGGGAAGACAGCTTCAATGGACTCATTAAGACTGTATATGTTATCTGAGTCATTGTCTTTTCATCAGACAGTGTTTATAGGCCTGGTTGAAATGTATTGCAACAAGTGCATATGAAACTGATCTCGTGATCTGGATGCAGTCACTGATTTAAAAATGTCCTCCCTGTAGGTGTTTGAGACAAAGAAAAAGCTGGAGGACGATGTGGGAACAATAGAGGGCCTGGAGGAGGTGAAGAGGAAACTCCAGAAGGACCTGGAGCTCACCAGCCAGCGTCTGGAGGAGAAGACCATGGCCATGGACAAGATGGAGAAGACCAAGAACCGACTGCAGCAGGAGCTGGACGACCAACTGGTGGACCTGGACCAGCAGAGACAGATCGTCTCCAACCTGGAAAAGAAGCAGAAGAAATTTGACCAGGTGACCACTGGATCACCCACAACAGTTTAAGAAATGATAAATGAAGGTCACGTGGATGTCTGTGTATTAAAGGCCTTTGTTTGTTTGTACTAGATGCTGGCTGAGGAGAAAACCATCTCAGCTCGTTACGCTGAGGAGCGCGACCGTGCTGAAGCTGAGGCCAGAGAGAAGGACACCAAGGCTCTGTCTATGGCCAGAGCTCTGGAGGAGGCCTTGGAGGCCAAAGAGGAACTGGAGAGGTTTAATAAGCAGCTCCGCGCTGAAATGGAGGACTTGATGAGCTCCAAGGATGACGTGGGGAAGAATGTGAGTGACCTTTGACCTCCTGAACAGCACTGTGGATAAAGTGGCTCTTACAGGTTGACCCTGGCAGTGTAGACCAGACAGATGCATCTTTATTTAAACTTAAAATAAGTCTAGTCAGAGTACAGCTGATCAGCCCGGGATAGTTTTACGTGTAAAAGGTGTGTTGGGTGTTTTTTCCCTGGAAATCAAATGTTTATTCTGCTGCCACGTTACCTCCTTGTTTGTCCTGACACTTCATACAGGTCCATGAACTGGAAAAGTCCAAGCGAACCCTGGAGCAGCAGGTGGATGAGATGAGGACGCAGCTGGAGGAGCTGGAGGACGAGCTGCAGGCCACAGAAGATGCCAAACTGCGTCTGGAAGTCAACATGCAGGCCATGAAGGCTCAGTTTGACCGAGACCTGCAGGCCAGAGACGAGCAAGGAGAAGAGAAGAAGAGGGCGCTGGTCAAACAGGTACACAAGGCCGATGGAAAGACTTTATACATTTTTAATATAAAACGTTTGACCTGAGAATTTACAGTTTAGCATCTACATCGTATTGAGCGATACGCTGCGTGTTGTTTTCACATCCAGGTACGCGAGATGGAGGCAGAGCTGGAGGATGAGAGGAAGCAGAGAACGCTGGCTGTTGCTGCCAAGAAGAAGCTGGAGATGGACCTCAATGAATTGGAGGGTCAGATCGAAGCTGCCAACAAAGGCAGGGACGAGGCCATCAAACAGCTCCGAAAACTCCAGGTACACATAGATACACACTTTATTATTCCAGACTTATTGTATGCTCCCTAACGTAAATATTGTAAACCAGGTCTTAGCCTTCACTAGCAAGGATCAGCCAAATTGCCCTCATTATAAATGCCTTAAACGTGGATCCTGCCAGTCCTCTCACCTCCACAGTATCACTAAGCTGTCTGCCACGTCGTCCTTTAACTTTGTCCATATGGTGTTGTTGCTCCTGCAGGCTCAGATGAAGGACTATCAGAGGGAGCTGGAGGAGGCCAGAGCCTCCAGGGACGAGATCTTCACCCAGTCCAAGGAGAACGAGAAGAAACTCAAGAGTCTAGAGGCTGAAATCTTACAGCTTCAGGAGGTTCAGTTTCAGACTTTTACTTTGTGACATGTGCTGGTTTTTATTCAAGACAAGCAAAGTGTGACGTCTGAACGACCCTGTGTGTGTCTGTGTAGGACCACGCAGCTTCAGAAAGAGCCCGTCGACATGCCGAGCAGGAGAGAGACGAGCTGGCTGATGAGATCTCCAACAGTGCTTCTGGAAAGTCAGTATCTACAAGTAGTTTGTGCTTTCTTCACATTAGTAGCTGTAGCTGACCACGAGGCAGGTTTTGTAAACTTGGTGACTTATTGATCACCGGGAACAAAAAAGTCGATGAATCTGTGTCAGTTTTTTTTCTGGTTTGTTTTGGAGTTGTGTAAACGCGTGGAGTTGGAATGATAAATCTAATATAAATGTGTGTGTGTCAGGTCGTCACTGCTGGAGGAGAAGAGGAGGCTGGAGGCTCGGATCACCCAGCTGGAGGAGGAGCTGGAGGAGGAGCAGGGCAACATGGAGCTGCTCAACGACCGCTTCAGGAAGACCAACATGCAGGTAGACACAGGAGATAAAACACTGTTCAAGATGGCCGAAACTGGCAGAAGCCATTCAGCTGACAAACTAAACTTTTAGTTGATTTTTGAGAGTGTAAAATGTTTCCATTAAGTCAGATTACTCTGTATATCAACCTGCGTCTGTCTCCTCTCCCATCACTCTCCCTCCACCGTCCCTCTCTCTTTCTCAGGTCGACAGCCTGAACACCGAGTTGGCCACAGAGCGCAACACTGCCCAGAAGAGTGAGAACGCTCGGCAACAGATGGAGCGTCAGAACAAGGTTTGTTGAATATATTAGTGTATGAGGTGTGATCAAAAAGCTCACAGACTGTGCTTATAAAAAATTTAAACCATAACTGTTTTTAATTGGGTTGGAATCCCCCTGAAGTAGTCTCCTTACGCAGAGATAAAACTCTCCTGCAAGGCTCGTTTGAGATGCCAGATTGGAGGACTATTAAACATATTACATGTATTTATTGCAGTTTTTATGACCGAGGCTGATTTCTGTCTGCTGTATATTTCAAAACAGTAAAATTTACCACTTGACATTTCAGTTTAATGTTTTAAATGTCTTCACTCCGTCGTTCTTATTTACTAGTGTAGTTGTGTAGAGGCTTATTGTGTCCTCTCTGTACATGCTTATCTCCACCTCTCATCACTTAAACCATGCAGGGATTACACTAAATATATCAGAAGTATTTGGTCATGTTTAATGTCTCGTCCTCACGAACGCAGGAGTTGAAAGCCAAACTGGCAGAGCTGGAAGGGGCTGTCAAGTCAAAGTTTAAGGCGTCCATCACTGCCCTGGAGGCCAAGATCCTGCAGCTGGAAGAGCAGCTGGAGCAGGAAGTCAAGTAAGTGTCCGACTCAACTGTCGGCACATTCAGCCACTTTGCATGTATTTGAGTATAAAAGTAGGCAGTAAAACCGATCTCCTCTCTGTGTCGAACCTCCAGGGAGAGAGCAGCAGCCAACAAAATCGTCCGACGCACAGAGAAGAAACTGAAGGAGGTGATGATGCAGGTGGAGGATGAGCGTCGTCATGCCGACCAGTACAAGGAGCAGGTATTGACGAGACTTTCGTTTTGGTTTATTCTGTTCAGACTATGCAGCCAGCGTTCCTCGACCTCTCACTGTCTTCATCTGCTTCCTTTGTGTGCCCGTCCTCCTGTCAGATGGAGAAAGCCAACTCTCGTATGAAGCAGCTGAAGCGTCAGCTGGAGGAGGCAGAAGAAGAGGCCACCAGAGCCAACGCCTCCCGCAGGAAGCTGCAGAGGGAGCTGGACGACGCCACCGAGGCCAGCGAGGGTCTCACCCGGGAGGTCAACTCCCTCAAGAACCGCCTCAGGTACAAAGAGGAGGAGACGTCCTCATATAACACAAGAGTAAACTGAAGCAGGCACAACAAAATGGCACTACATGTAATAATAGTAGTAAGTGAAGGGTAACTGGACTCGAAGCTGGACAGTGTGAACGGGAGCCATTTTAGTAATGCATGAAAGGTGTCAAGTCATTTTAGTGGCAACGGTAACTATCAGTCCCTGACATTTATATTTATGTATAGAAAGATGTCTGTTCAGATTCTCATTCATCCAGCTCATAGTCGTCCTAAGTGCTTCAGTAGAATGCAGCTTTTCAGATCTTTAAGCCTTTTCATCGCTCATCCGAGAGGCTTTCTCAGTTCAGAATCACACGGTTCACTTTCACAACAGTTCACACCACGAGAATGTTAAAGGTTGAGGGAGCATTATACGTCTGAGGTGGCACTGCCCACCAGTCAGAACAAAGGATGCAGGTTTTTTACTATTTTAAACAATAGTCAACCATGATATCAAACAATCATCTAATCATCTAATCAATAGTATTGCAGATGTTGTCCATGTGTTGAAAAAAAAGCATTTGTAACCACGGACGTTTTGGCTCATTTTCTACACAAAAATACTGCCCATGAGCCATTAGCTGCTCTGGAATTCTCACAAACATGAGCGCTATCTTCTCATCCAACTTGCTACAACAAAACAAGGAGCAAGTTTTTCAAAATGTCCGGCTTCTCCTTTAAGCATCAAAGGTTCAACTTGTGTTGTTGGTTTGTTTCTACCAGGCGTGGTCCGGTCAGCAGCTTCTCCTCCAGTCGCTCAGGCCGCCGCAACCTCAATCTGGACGGCGCCTCCGTGGACATGTCGGACGACGACGCCGACAGCCGGGCCAGCGACTTCAACGAGACGCAAGCCTCCAACGTGGAGTAGACCCTCTTATCCCTCACCTCTTCCTCCGCCTCGTCACTCCCCACCTCCCTCCTCGTCCACCAGTTTACCCCCCCGAAGATCCTCGGCGTCCACACGGTCTTTGCTCATTTCAAACCACTGACTGGTCAGAAGATTGGAGCGATGAGCTGTTTTTGGTGAAGCTAGGCGGAGTGCGCCTGGCAGCTGCCCTTTTTGTATCAGTTAACACTGCAGGGAAAATCCACCGCCCTCCTCTCAAGAAAATGCCTCCGGTCCCGGAGAGCCACAGGGGCAAACGGACACTTCTGCCTTACTCTGTTCTCCTCTGGCAAGCTGCTAGTCCTGGCTCGTCTGTCAGCCATGTATCATCTCAGTGTCATAACACCCCCCATCCCTTCAGTTATCTGCTCAGCTTATTGAGAAGGAACGCATAGGTACAAGTGCTTTTTATACATATGAGACTGTGCGTGTAGACCAAGGCTCCGAGGTGTGACCAACACTTCATACTGGAAATGCAGGACTACAAGGAAAAGTCTTTCACTCTGGTGTTGTCGTCAGTCTTCTGCTCACTAGCTGTGTACAAAGCCATCTCTTACCCGACACGCTCCTCTTGAAACGGGACAACCCCACACCACGGTCACTGTGGCCTTCGGACGGCCACGCCGGCTGCTTTCGTTGCATGAGTCTCCTTCTGACGATGTTTCTTGTTCGGCTTCTTCACTTCGGCTCTTCAGGAACAACTAACATCTCGGGACATGCAATAGAAAAACACGGACTCTGAATTGAAAGTGTATTACTGTGAAACAAAAACAAAAAAAAAAAGGTATTTTATTTTCTCTGTTGCTTCATCTCAACACGTACTGAAGGAATGTGCAGCTGGGTTTGAACTGGGATTCTCATTTTGTGATGTTGACCATCGGGAACACTGTCAAGGAAACTGTCCTTCTGATGTGGATCGACCTGCGGAGCGACGCAGAGATGCTGGAAAATGCACAGAACTGCACGGAGCGATTGTAACGGGAAAAAAGAAGCTCTTACTGGAAGCACTAAAAGGCGGCACTCGCTATCAATGTGACACTAGACGGTCGTTAAACTTTGATTAGAAACGGATTGAAGATAGTCGTCCTCTCACCACATCTCAGTGTTTGTGCTCAGCCTCACTTTGTATTATAATTCAAGACAGAGTTTGGCAGTTTTCTGGATTTTTGCAAACCAAGAAGGTAGTTTAACAACCTGGCTGCTTCTCAATAAGGTATTTCCAAAAAACACACTAACACCACAATTAGCTTTTAAATGTGCATGGATGAAAAGCAAAGTGCACAGAAGAACAGACATTTTAACATCTACAACGATGCTTCTAATTGACTTAACGATTCACAAGGTCCCGACTCGACGATGTGAAACGTCCTGAGATGACTCGTGATTTGGCGCTTTAGAGATAAAACGGCATTTAAAAAATCTGTAATGTCACATTTTATTATTAATATTTAATATAAATTCAGGCTTTTTTACAGTCTACCTGCAGAAGAAAGTAGAAACAATCTCAGCACGTGTTCCATTAATGTGGCTTTTCTGGAACTTCCAATCATGTTGCACCATCTTTACAAGCAGGTGTGGAGTTGAATTGAGATAGTTAAGGTGCATTGTGGGTAACGTAGTTGCTGGGTTTAACACGGCTGAATAAAAATGAGTTCTCTGGTTTCGTTGCACCAGTTTGGATGCGTTTCTGTAAAATTCTTCAGTCAAGTTCTCTTTTAAATGCTTTTTGTCCACGCTGGCACAACAGTTAGAAAAGTTTAAAGCCTTTTTTCTAACAAACTGAACTCATTTTCTGATTTTAGAAATACCTTGCGAACAGCTCTGAGTGTTAAACGGTGCTCTTGGTTTTTCAAAAAAATCTCCATATTATAGCTCTGTGACTCGAATGTAATCTGTGCCATTATTTTAAGGAGTTTAATCTTCAGACCTGATCGAGCACTTAGTATTCATCGGCGACAGGTTGTCTGAAAATAATAAGGTTTTATATTTCCTTCTCTACTTTAGTCTAAGTTCCTTTAATATGATTGTTTTTTTTTTAGCTTTGCTTTAAATACAGCGGCCACCTCAAGAGCTGAACCACTACACCTGCCAGGGTTTCCATATCCACCGCTCCACTCTACTTCCTGGGTTTCGCTGATCGATGGCGGACTCCTCTGCCTGCCCCCCCGCCCCTCCTCCTCCTCCTCAAACACTTAACAGTATGTTTCTTTAAAAGTGCCTTAGACACTAAATAAGAACATAAGCAAGGCAAGGATTTCACTACAGATTGGAAGATAACAGGTACATCAAGGAGATATTCAACACTTCATCTGTTCTTTTGTGTTTGGGCTTCGTATCATATCCACCTCTGTGTTCATGATAACCTCCTAGTTAGAACGTTTGGGTCAGAATCAGAGTGTTACGATTAACTAACATGAGAAGCGGAGCCCTCTGCAGCTGCATTTCCCACAATTACCCCTGGAATAAGTTCTGTTTTCCCCCTCACTCCCTCCCCTGTAAGCACTCAGACGAGGCCCTGGTACTGAGGTTATTCTGGGAACTGATGCGCTGCACAGGATTTCATTTGGTTGGAAGCTTTAACATCCACTAGTAGTTAACTCATTGTTTTTTCTTTGATCATTATCCAGCCGGCTGTTGACAACCAGGCGTTCAACTGCAAATACTCCCATCATGTTACTTCTTGTATACCTGTATTTCTAGACGGTGATTCTTTTTCTTTTTTTCTTTCTTTCTTTCTGTTTTTGTTTGTTTTTGTAAAAGGAAAATAAAGCATATTCATTGTAACTGTGATGCTGTTTTGGTTTGTCTTTTGGGAGCTACAGGCGCTTCGTTGGTCTAAATTAAGTCCAAGTGGCAGGAATGTTATATTTCTATTGTTTATTTCTAATATTATTTTTTTCCTCAAGAGTTTTAAATCATACTTTTAGCAAATATTGAATCTTATGATGTACAGATGTTGGCCAGGGAGGACAGATGGTTTGACAGAGGGGTGATAGAAGCCATCTATGTCCAACTATAAAGACCATCCCTCAACAGAGGTGGAGGTCTGAGGCATCATCTCTCACCTGTTTACAATTCAGTCCTAAGATCTCTCCCCAGGAAGATGAAACCACATCCACACATAGCCACAAAAGACCCTAACGAACTCCATTGCGGCAGGAGGAGCACTAACAACTCACTTAACGAGGCTGAGGATCAACAGACCCCCAGCTGAAACCGAAACTCTGGTGTTAATGACTCCTTAAGGATGTAAGTATCTGGAACTCCCAACTTGTCAGTCAGAACTGATGAAGCCTCTTGGATGAAACGTCTTCAAGGAACTCAAGCAAGTCCAGTTGCTACCATTAATCTACAAGAAATGAATCTAAAATGGTTCCTGTCAGATTCAAACTTTTCTACATCTAAGGGATCGATTGAGTTGAATTACACCACTGCTGACTCTTCAACTTCATAACATGACTTGAAAAAAGATCATTACAGTGATATTGAGATAAAATATGGAAGTTCACTGCATTCACAAAAGGAAAAAAAACTTACTTTATGATTGAAACTTAATATTTTAGTCAGTCAGAGCCTGATTTAATATAATTCTAGGAGCTAGAATATCTAAATAAAAATGTCCCTTTAAAAGACGTGTTTACAACAAACAGGAAGCAAATGTTGCCATGGATACAGTAAGTTGTACTAAAGTTATGATGCTTGAAGGGATTTACTTAAGGGTGTTGCACTCAGTCCCTTAAAAACTTTTCTTAGTTAAGGGATAATGTTAAAGGCGTTTACTGCACTGAAAGACATTTTACAGCAGTAGATTTCTGCAGTTTCCATGGAGATCATTTCTTTGCTTGTGTTACCTGTTACAGCCTCACCTGTTGTTGTCTCACACAGTCGACCAATAGTAACAAATAGGCCAAGGAAGCATATTTTACCTTTAAAGGATTAACGTTATCGGCAGAACCTTAATACAACGTAAATTTTATCTACAAATGACAGCAAAGTTTGTTTCTACGTTTTGTATTTTGTGTTACTTTGGTTGCTAAAGTCTTTTATGCAGCAGTTTAACTTTAAAAGTGCTTAAGTAGAAAACTTGAGTGTAATTTGTGCAGCACATTTTATTTTAAAGAAATCTGAACTCAGGCTTTTAGGAGAACCTGAACTTCAGGTGTTTTTTTTGCCTTGGAAC